TCCGCTCGATGGAGCCGCCCCGGTGGAGCGCCGTAGTCAGGGCGCGGTATTTCCCGGCAATGCAAGCGGAAGGGTCGTTACCCCGGCGGGATCCTCATGACTTTTCCTGGTAACCGGCCTCTTCCGGCGGAAGATTTATCTGGGGGGGTAGGCGGGAGGGGAGAGGGTCTGACGTCGTAAAGATGGTGAACAGCCCAAAAGCCACGCGGGAGGCGAAAGACACCAGCTCACCCTCCAACGGGGGCTCTCCTGCCCCTGCCGGGCCTTTAGTCAAAGCCAGTTGGGCACAGGGCCAGCTGTGGAAACGCCCCGCCGGAAAAACGGCCCTTCCTATCCGTTATCCACCTCTTGCCCTTCCCATGGGAGCCATCCCGGGTGAGACGACACAGGGCATGGATGGAGGCCGGAGAGGCAGGAGGCCAAGGGCCTACAGGGGGGTAGGCACGGGCAAGAACGAGAGCGGGGCGATCTGACAGCAGGAACTGGGGCGCAGGAGCCTTTGAGGACAGAAGTCTGCCGCAGGGAGCAGGGGGACAGGCTGGCCTTCCGACGCAGAAATTGAAGCAGGCTGGTCCGGGCTGCAGGGGTGGAGGCGGGAGCAGCCAAATTAAAACAAACGCCGCTAACGATGAGCTCACACCACGTTCTCAGTCAGAAGCTGGCTCTGCTCCCACCGCAGAGGCGACCTCCAGCAGCCGTCCCTTCGCTCTGCTCCAGCTGGAGTCGGTTCAAGAGAAACACGACCGAAGAGGTTTGAAAAGCCGATCCTGGTCCCAGAAAAAGGCAAGCGCTCGCTCGGCCACGGTTACACAAGCGCAGCCGTTTGCTTCTGCGGTAGCTGCTCTCTGCAGCCATCTGGCTGGCGGCAGCGCGTTACCTACGTGACCCCTCTGCGGCGAGGGAGGCAAGAGAGGAGAAGGGAAAAAAAAAAAGGGAGAGGAGGAGAGAGGGGGAAAAAAAAAGAAAAGGAAAAGGGAGTAAGAAAAGGCAAACAAGCGCTGCTGTAACACAGCTCAGGCTGGCTTTGCCAGACACCGGAGACCACCTTTGAAAGAGCTGGTTTTTACAGAACAGGTAAAGTTCAACTGGTGCTACTGGCAGAAGGGTCAACAGGAAAGGTTGCTGCCACCCCAAAAATCTTTGGGGTAAGTACTTCTGAAGGGTCACCCAATACCTGCCTATGAAAAACATCAGCACGGGTGTCTGCCACGCTCACGCTGCCACCACCAAAGCCGGTGACGAGTTCCTCTGCCAGCTGATCCCGAGGGCACCCCAGCCGTGCGGCATGGGGGTAGCACACCCACCCGAACCACTTCTGGTTCCGGATCCTCATGCACAAAACACACATTTCTTGTTTACATTCACTTCTCAATTTTTATTCTATTTCTCGCATGGTCTTCAAATACGGTTTTACAGGTCGTTTTTTTTCTGCTTCAGATACTGTTGATCTAAAAAACAGATTAATGAAAGTGGCATTCCAACCTCAATGAAAATTCATAACCATGAAAGATATGTCAACATATCACTTTACAATCCTAGAATGATGGTATTGGCCTGACATTCCATAGGCTTATACAATTAACTTCTATAATAATAACAAAGTCATAGGAAGAGAAAATGTGGCAACTCCTTAAAAGCCAAGAAATAAGGCCACAAGCATCCTATGCCGTAATGTTACGCATCCAGATAAAATAAGTTGACTCTGGTATCCATGAAGAAACAAAACTCTCCCACCTGATAAACCAAGGTATCAGCTACTCCACATGCACTCAAAGCTGTATAAAAACTAGTGGCATTCAGCTCTGACTTACATGAAATCCCATAGCACAACCCCGTACCTCTCTCTAAAAATGAAATGAACTTGTTTCAACTTAAATACTTCGCTACCGCATTAAAAAATTGTTCACATTCTGCAAAGGAAAAGAAAAAAAAAAAAAAAAGCCCAAACATCCTGCATGTGACCGCGCCAGAAGGCCAAACACAGCATCTCCCCACGGGTCACAGACAACACTACTGCAGTCTGAATGCCGTTGGCTACAGGTCGCCTAACTTCTGCGTAGCTGGAGGCTTGTAAGAGGAACCGAACTGCCCTTGCACACCACTGAAAAAAACCCAGGAAAATGAAGAAGGAAGATAAAGACAGCTGCTGGCAGCGGGTGACAGAAGCAAGGTACTGCAAGGTGTACACCACTGGCCAGTTACGTATCTGGGACGCCGGGACTTCTGTGAAATACCAATTTCATAACCGATGTGACTGCCTCACTACCAGATCCCCGTATCGTGCCGATTCCATCCCATAGCCAAACGTGTCAGTCCTGGGTAAAAACATTAAACTCTTGGAACATTTAAAAGTAGGTAACCATTTAAATAATGTAAAAATGTGCTTATTGTGGTATTTCATATAGAAAAGTTATTTGATACAAATGTGCAGGACTTGAAGACCCTGATTTAATCAAACTAGTACGAACAGGCTTTGAAACACAGTGCCTGTTCCGGGGACAAATCCCAGCTGTGGGCCAGCTCTCTCCCTCTCACCGTCTGTCATCCACACTCCTGTGCGAATGTTACCA